AAGTCCTACAGGAGCAAGAGGAAAAGATGTATCATTTATAGAACTGGATCAGGAAAGACTTCTTGGAAGAGGAAAACTTGAACTCTGTATGTAATTGACATTCAGTAAGTCCATGTTCAGAATAATAACAGTAGCTAAATCTTAAACAGCACTTATACTATTCTGGGACTGTTGTAAGTGTTTTCCATAGATAAGCTCATTTAGTCCCCATAAAAATGCGCTAGGATAAGTACCACACAATTACAGTGCTATAGTTCCTACCCTACTTTATGGATGAGGAAACTGAGGTTCAGAGAGATGAATTTTCCCAAGGTCTCAAGTGATGGTATTGAGATTTGAACCGAGGTGGTCTGCTCCCAGAGTATGTCCCTTGTCCACAATGTGACACTTTCTCAGGGAAGGGGCAGGTATGGTCTGGATGTGTGAGATAGAGAGGGAGTTCTAACTGGGAGAGGCGGGAATGCTCACAATAGGGAAGCGCTTTTAAAAAAAAATACAAAATTACAAATACAAAATTAAGGGGAAAGTGAATATTTTCTTAGAATGAGAAAAGAAATCACAACAAATTTTGAATTTAGAAATAATGATGACTATGACATTTAGTAATTATTTAGCATTATTCAGTAATAAGATCAGTAAAATAATATTTTTATTAATTGTTCCTGCATTTTTGACTACACACTTGTATGCCAATGATTTTGTAATTTTTTTCATAGAGAGAATAGAAAGATTATTCAGTCTTCCCTCCAGCTCTGCTGACCAGCTTTGTTTCTTACTATTGCTAGTTTAGAAAATTATCTTTCAGTTTCTCAATTCCTTATTAGTAATGCCATGTAAATATGTAGGACTGCTGTTAAATTTGGGAAAACTTCTATCAGATTTCTTTCATGTGAGCTGCAAGGTATCTGGGCACTTAAAATTTTCTTGTTCTGTGACTAATTATAAATTCTCTTAGAATTAATGCCACCTATGTGTTGGTATCCTCACTGTAATGCAGAAATGACTGGAAACTACCTAAATATATCCTATTGAATCCAAACTAAATGTATCCCCAACTCAACCTTGTCCAGATTCCATAAATAGGTACAGCCTCTCTAGTGATACCCAAAATGAGGGAGAGTATGAAGGAGGCAGAATTGGAATGGCCAAAAAAAAATGGTGGTCTTACCAGATGGTGGATGGTTAAAAGATTTCACTTCTGGAAATTTAATCAAACATATGATCATGTGAACACATTGCTAGATCATCTCTCCCAGGGCTTTGAAGGGGCCCATACAAGCAAGGGACTCTGAAGCTTAACCTTTGTTAACTTCCTGCTAGGTCCACCTCTGCTCATAACGCATTTCCTGGACAGAATGTAGGTCATCCTTGCTGGAGAGAGAAGGGGGTTCCTACTGAACAGCAGTGGAGAGAAAGCTGTCCAGGCTGATGGGAAAATGGGGCCATGGGCCCTACTTCACGGACTCAGTGTTTGGTGGCCCTGCTGGGATCACAGCTGATTCAGATGTGGTTGTTCGTCTGTGACTAAAGTGAGCTATTGAGCTGGCATACTGACAAATGATTTTGACATGAATTTTGGTTTTCCCTTTCTAGGCTGCCAACAAAAGCAAAGAGAAGGTGTCTGCCAGGCCACACGGTATGTTGGCAGCAGTTACTAATCACATGGAAGTTTTGCTGTTTATCTATTGTAACAGAGGGCCACTCTCAGCCCTGTGTCTCATGGTGTGGCAGATGGAACTCCTTGATGGCTTGCATTTAGACTCTGATTTTTTTCCCTCATATTAAATTGTACCTTTGACCCAAGCCCTGTTCCTCTCTCTTCCCAGTCCCCTCTGCTCCATCTTGATCTGAGAGTTCTTTGCCATAGATCCTTTGGATTGAGCCGACTCAAACTGGGGCAGTGGCTAGCACGGGTCTGGAGAACTCGTTGATGATGTAACTCCTTTATAGAGTTCCGAAGTTGGGAGGCTTCTAGGAGAATATCAGGGGCAGTGGATTCCAAACTAGGGCTGATCAGGGGTGCTTCAGGGGTCTGAGGAAGTATTCAAAGGTCCTTGTGTGGGTGTGAGAGTGACACTCTTCCTTCTTACTTCAACTGGGGCAGTTCCACTTTTATCTATTTTATACACTAGAGTTCAGGATAAGATTTTGTTGGAAACAATAGGATTTTGTTGCTGAAATGTATGAGGACCACTGATCCATTTCGATTTTCCTCCACTTTACAAAGAAAAGACATCTGATGTCCACAGGATTTATGTGACTTTGCTGCAGCGACACCTTGGTGGTTGGCCCAGTGCAGCCTGGAGCTCAGACCTTTCCGTCTGATATAGATGCCTTTTATTTTCCCAGGTGTATGCGATGGTATCTGTATGGACAATTCCTACTGTACTCAACCTTGTCCTCCAGACACTCAGGGAACTATGGGGTTTTCATGCAGGAAAAAGAAATGGTACAAGATCACGGATACCTGCCGGACTCTTAATGCCTTCAACATCTTTGAGGTAACATCCTTTCTCTGGCTACATGGATTCTAACGTGGGCTCTATGAGCTAAGTGGAGCCTCCAATTAGCAGTGCGTATTGTCCTCAGTAAGAGAGAGGAAGAGCACGAGGCTGGCTGGCATGTCGGAGCGTTTGTATGTGAATGTGTAAGCACCTACCTGGTCCCCCCTCTATGCATAAATGCATTCTGACCTTCGGGCACATAAAAGTTTGTGCTTAGTCCCCGACACGCTGCCACTGCTGGAAGGTACCTGATCATTTAGGTTAGAACTAGAAGAGGTGCCCAGAATTGTCATGGTCAACTTCTCTATCTTAAATACTCCAAAGCCTTAATACTCAAGTGTCTTTCACTGACCAGTGCATTCCTGAAAACTTGACAGACACGTGGGATTTGGAGCCACCCCACACCTGCTGCATCAGAATCTGCATTTTATCAAATCCCCAGGTGATTTCTGTCCTCTTTAAAGTGTGAAAAGCAAGGTGACCTAAAGGGAAGGACTTTATCATCAAACTAACATATTTTCACACGCATATACTTCAGTAATTTTACATTTTAAAAATCAAATTCTAATAAATAAAATCAGCTCAAATGCTCTTTCTTTTCTTTTCTAAAAGCAATGCTATTGCTTTTTCTCCTTTTCTAGTAAGGGCTTTACCTTTTTGAAGTTCAGCTCCAAATTCCTTCACAGGAGTCTATGCTTTGGCATTTCTTTTGTTTTAGGAACATCCCCATTCTCTGTGGGGAGTGCCGGTTGGTGGTATACCAGAAGTCCTTCACTGGATCTAAGAGGCTGTCTACTCCTGACATTTGGGAGGCCTGAGCAAGATACACATGGACACCCACATACCATATGTTTTAAGATTTAAATGCTTTAAACCAAGCTTATAAACTGCCAAGTAAAAATATATTCTGTCTGCTTCTTATCTCAGATTCCATCCTGTACCTCAAGGGCAATGACAGCCAAGGCCACACATCTATAACCCTGAGCACGGGTGCCCCTTGGCCACCTCTCAGGCCTAGGGGTGAACACACTGGTGGCATGGTCCCTCCCTGGCCGGACACACTTAGCGAAGAAGCCCATGCAGGCCCTGCAGGTGGGCTTGGAGGTGTTAAGCCGGGAATTCAGGTGTTCAGAAGCAGGGAGATAGGCCCTAAGGAGGCATATCCTCTGGGACCATGGACTCCTTGCCTTGTGAAAGGGCAGGCTGGATGAGGCCCAGAAAGGGGTCCTCTAAAGCAAGGGTCAGTAAGCTTTTTCTACAAAGGGCCAGATAGTACATACTTTAGGCTTTGTGATCACATAGTCTCTGCTGTGACTATTCAGCTCTGCAGCCATAGACGATACTTAAATGAATGAGCTGGCTGAGTTCCAGTAGAATTTTATTTATAAAAAACAGGCAGCCAGTTACATCCTATCTGCAAATAGTCTGGGCATTCAATGAACATCCATCACTTAATCTAGCTTAGCAAAACTCAAAGGGTATAGTTTGAGTTTGAGAAACCCCTTCAGATAAATATCTCATAAAACATAATCATTATTGAAGATTCATTTACAAACTTTTATCCCAGTCATATCCATTCACTCTTAAGAATTATATTTGGAAAACTTTATGAGACACTAGGAAAATCTAGCTACATGCCAAGCTAAACTTTTTATCAACCAGTTTTCCATTACTACATGCCAGGTAAGTATCATAAAAGCAAGAACTCTAAAATTAAATACTTGTGTATTTTGCTGATAACTCAGAAGACACAGCCATTCCCATCAAACCAACAACATTAGATTTATCCCATCCACCAAAAGATTTTTAAGTCATGTGAACTTGAAAAGCATTTGGGCTTCTATATGAGTACTCATTTATTTATTTATAAGCCAATTTTTTACCATGAAGACAATGTACAGACAGACAAGTATACACCTGTATGTACATAAAAACACAAACAGACACAAATGAAAATTCTATAGTTTTAATTTAAAACTTTAGCCATGAGTCAGGTAAACATACAATGAAACGGCAATTAGATACAAACTATGTCTCTGTAAATGGAATAGGCTAAAATTTATCTGTCCCACATGGCTACAGCCCTCCCAAATTTTAGAAAAAACAGGGTAGCAGATTTACATATCAAACAGAGAGAATTTAAGCTTTTTCAAGAAGGAGTTTTGGTGTGTTAGAGGAAGATTGAAAATGGATATCCAGGTGACATAAAATCATAGAAATTTATCACAAGATTTTACAAAGAAACATACAGATGAGCCTAGAGAAAATTTAGAAACCTTTTCGAAATAACCAGCTGAAAGAGTAAAAAAGAGGAAATAAAGGATAAAGCAGAGGCAGCAAAAAAGATGTGGAACAGAGGTCCCCAACCTTTTTGGCACTGGTTTCATGGAAGACAATTTTTCCGAGGGGGGTTGGAGGTGGAATTCTGGCCGTGATGTGAGCGATGGGGAGCAGCTGTAAATACAAATACAGATGAAGCTTCACTAGTTTGCCCGCTGCTAACTTCTGCTGTGTGCTCCTCCTTCCTGGTTTCTTAAGTTTCATGGGAGACAATTTTTCCATGGATGGGGTTGGGGGTAGGCAGCAGAGTTCTGTGGCCTGGACTCTAATAGGCTGTGGCCC